AAAAAAAAAAAACAATAACAAAAACACTATAGTTAAAATTCCATTGCTATACTCTCAGTTTTCCATTCAAATTCTACGAAGTCTAGAGATTGAAAGTTGAAGAATACTGCATTCTTAACACCCATGAACATAGATATAAACTGAAATGAATTAACGGATCAAAAGGGTTGAATTAATTCTCGAAACCTTCTTCCATATATCATGCATCTTACTCTCACAATGAACAGAATATGGGCGGTCTGCTGAATGGAATTTGTGCAAATGCAAATGCAATACGAAATATGCAAGCGAATGCGATAAAATACTTTCGAATTATTTGGTCAAAAGATCTGATTATGATATCATGTTAACAGAAACAACAAACAATTGGATTTATTTAATTCACTAACATTCTTCTACAGATTCCGGATGCATTCATGAATTATTGGGTTTATTTTATTTTGATTAATTCCCTAACATCTTTCAGATAATCTCCCAACTCATAAACTGATAAAACATCCTTTTCCCCGATGGGGAATTTTATTCCTCTCCGCCTACAGTGGGTGTTGAATTCATTATAATATTCATCCTCTTCCTCTTATGTCTCCTTTGTTCCCTCCCCCTCATGGGTATTTAAGTACAGTCAGACTTCGTTTAAAAACAGCACCCACAGTTCCATCCAATTCCAACTCCTCATAACATCCGAAGGCCAAAAGACAGCCTTGAAAATCATGTCTAAAACATCTGTTCTGTCTTTCCTCCTCTGCATCCTCCTCTGTTTCATCTCACAGCAATGTATGTTCACCTCTGCCGCCCAAGGTAGTTGGGCACTGTTACAGGAAAACATCGGTATAGCTGCAATGCACATGCAGTTGCTTAACAACGACCGTGTCATTATGTTTGACCGAACTGATTTCGGGCCGCCCAATTTGTCTTTGCCAAATGGCAATTGTCGGAATGACCCAAATGACAGGACGTTGAAGGTGGATTGTACTGCTCATTCAATTGAGTACAATGTTCTTTCCAACACATTCCGTGCACTCACGGTGCAAACCGACGTTTGGTGTTCTTCGGGTGCCGTGATGGCCAATGGCAGTCTCATTCAAACGGGGGGGGTTCAATGATGGTGAGAAGAGAATTAGGATTTTCACCCCCTGCAACAACAATTGTGACTGGGTTGAAGTGCCGAATGGATTAGCTGCAGCAAGATGGTATGCCTCTGATCACATCTTGCCTGATGGTAGAATGATTATCGTGGGCGGCCGAAGGCAATTTAATTATGAGTTCTATCCTAAGAATACTGCTCCTGGTCTGTTCAGTTTGCCATTCTCGTCGGAAACAAATGACCGTGGGGTGGAGAACAATCTCTACCCTTTTGTTCATCTCAATGTTGACGGGAATGTATTCATTTTTGCAAACAATCGTGCAATTCTGCTTGATTATGTGAATAAAGTAGTGGTGAAAACGTACCCGATGATACCAGGAGCCGAAGCTCGGAGCTACCCCAGCACTGGCTCCTCAGTGTTACTTCCCTTGAAGAACATACAAGCACCAAATGTCCATGCTGAAGTGTTGATATGCGGTGGAGGCGCAAATGGATCTTATACCCAATCATTAAAGAAAAAGTTCTTACCTGCTTTGGAGACTTGTGCTCGAATCAATATAACAGACCCAAACCCGCGATGGGTCATGGAGACAATGCCACTACGTAGAGTCATGGGTGACATGATATTACTACCGGATGGTAGTGTTCTGATCATCAATGGTGCTGCGTCAGGTTCTGCTGGGTGGGAGAACAAGGTAGGAATCCAGTATTGAATCCAGTCATATACCGACCCAATAACCCAATTGGGTCAAGATTTGTGGTGCAAAACCCGACTACCATACCACGCATGTACCACTCCACAGCTGGGCTAGTCCGTGATGGTAGGGTGTTGGTTGCTGGAAGCAATCCTCATGCTTATTACAACTTCACAGGAGTACTTTACCCAACGGAATTACGCTTAGAAGCATTTTCTCCGGAGTATCTCAACCCCACTTTCGATAACATCCGTCCAACAATTGTTGCACCGGTGAATCAAGGAATTCTGTATTATGGTCAAAAGCAAAAGGTACGTTTCAGTTGTCCAGGGCCAGTGATCCAGAACCAGGTAGAGGTGGCGCTGGTGGCGCCACCATTTGTGACACATTCGTTCTCCCAGAACCAAAGGCTGCTTGTGCTCGGAAACAACAGAATAATTGTATTGAGGAACAACTACTACGATGTGGAGGCAACCATGCCACCATCACCTATTCTCGCACCCTCTGGATTTTATTTGATGTACATGATTCATCAAGGTATACCAAGTCAAGGTATTTGGATTAACTTAAAAGGACATTAGTTATCTTTTAACAAAAGTCATTGAGATGTTTTGTGTTCCCTAATTTCTCAAAATTAATTTTCTGAGTTTGTACTGCTATAAGGCAAGTTGCAAGTGCTATTTTTGTTTTCTAATTGATTTTTGTGAAAATTGTAATATATTCGATTTGTGCATATGTATTGTATGAAACTCATAATCAATAAAATTGTGGGATTGATCTTGTTTCTCTTTCTTTTTGTGAAAATTGTAACATTCTCGAGTTGTGCATATGATTGCTGCCTAGGTCGTTTACTGACATGATTTTGTACGAATAACAGCAAAAGGAGAATGTGCATGCGAATGCAAGAAATCTGATATCCTTTTGAATTCTTTGAATTATTTATGGTACTTGAACTATGAAAAAGATTTTAGTCAGGTCCTTAGAACTTGTTTTTTGGTTTTGCTCTACTAAAACTTATAAAGGAAACAAGTGGGGATCACAAGCTTCGTTTAATTAATTGTAAATTAAAGATAATATTTCCATTATTTCACTTAATCTTTTTAATTAACGTTGATGTCACTTTATCCAAAGTAAGTGTTCCACAACAACAACAAAAATTAAAGTTTGGAGATCTAATTGAACATTTTTGCATAGTTCAAGGATCAGAAATCCCTTTCCTTTTTTCATTTTTTGTTTGATAAATAAAGAAGATAACATTAAACCAACATCAAGATATATATTAAGAACAAAGACATCAACATACTCTTGTATCGAATAAATAAATAAACAAAAGCATCAACATACACTAAAAGTTCTTGAGAAATTCATACCTCATGATATCTAAAAAACAGAAGAGTTTTAACACTTTGATGACATTGAGAAAAAACAACAAAATTCTACTGAAGATAAAGTCCCAGTTGAGCAAGCTGATTCGCGGCCATATTAGATTGGCACATGATATAAATAATCTGTAGGTGAGGAATTTGTTTGAGCTGGTTCTTACAATTCAAAATCAAAGAACTAAGAGCTATATGGGGAACTTGATAGAAACCAGCAAGAATTACTAGAATCAGTTTTAACAATGAAATGAGAGAAAGACATTACAAACAGCAAGCGAAAGGCCATCTCTCAAGGCCTACAGTTCAGCAACAAGGCTGCGACTCCTTTCATCCTTTATTTAAAAAAAAAAAAAATTGTTAACTCATTTCAACAACTTGCCTAACACATAATAGTAAAGTACCTAACTGCCCTTTAGGCTTTACCCCCAAAAAATGAGGTACCTGTTCACCTATGAGAAATATGAGAATGGGCTCACAAAACGACGGCGTTTTCCTTTCTCCTCATTTATCTTTTAGAATGACCCAAAATCAAACCTCTCTCCTTCTCCTTTCACCTAATAATTCGGTTCTAAATTTTAATGTTTAAGTTTAGTTGGTTAAGAGTTTCATTCTTATCAACTGTTTGAAAAAAACCTCTCTCTTTCTCCCTCACTAGGTACCATTACCAATTTACCATCCTCCACCTCCCTCACTGGGTACCATTTCCTCTTCTTCAATAGAACCACTAAAAAAAAAATTAATATGCAATATTGCAATACATAAACTTCAAATGTAAATATAATAGGCTAGGAAAATACAGATCAAAAAGCACTAGTGTTCAACTAATAAAATAACCTTCCGATAAACTAATTGATATAACGCACAAAGAATAAATAGATTAAAATTAAAATTAAATTAAAACCCAAATCCACAAAAGAAGAACGAAGTAGCAAACCACTAACAACCAACGAAGAAAGAGATTCTA